GGGCTCCCTGCTCAGCGGGAAGCCTGCTTCTCCCCCTCCCACTCCCCCTGCTTGTGTTCCCTCTCTCGCTGTCTCTCTGTCAAATAAATAAATAAAATCTTAAAAAAAAAAGTAAACTTGGGACGCCTGGGTGGGTCAGTCAGTTAAGCATCTGCCTTCGGATCAGGTCATGATCCCTGGGATAGAGTCCTGCATCAGGCTCCCTGCTCTGTGGGGGGGCCTGCTGCTCCCTCTCCCTCTGCCTGCCGCTCTCCCTGCTTGTGCACGTTTGCAGGCTCTCTGTCAAATAAATAAATAAATCTTAAAATAAAAGAAGTAAACTCTCCTTGATCCCATGGGAATTCAAATCAGAGTCCTGAGGAACAAAGAACATACTAACTTGGCATGCAGGAACAAGCACACAGTGATCTTGGTCTCAAGGTCTATCTCCCCAAAACCACATTTGTACCATTTCTCAACATCTTGGCTGTTAGAAAATATATAGTTGACGAAATATGTAATGAGAGCAAACTTTGTGCAGCTTTCACCTTGTCCAGGACTGATCCAACCAGCAAGCTGGTAGAACTAAGTTGGCCCAATAGTAGTCATGAAGAGTCTCCTTAACTATCTCAGGTCCCAAGCTGGCCCCTTTTCTTGCTTCACTGGCAGAAAAACACATCTTGTTGCCACCAATGACATACCAAGCCCAAACAAGTTGCCTTCAGAGAGCTGAAACATTTTGTTTGGCTATAGGTTCTTCTGTTTTCTAAGAATGTTTAGTATTATCTGGTCATTCTCTTTTTTTTTAAGATTTTGTTTATTTATTTGACAGCGAGAGAACACAAGCAGGGGGAGCAGCAGGCAGAGGAAGAGGAAGAAACAGGCTTCCCGCTGAGCAGGCGGTCCAATGTGGGGCTTGATCCCAGGACTCTGGGATCATGACCTAAGCTGAAGGCAGACATTTAACAGACTGAGCCACCAAGGCACCCTTCTGGTCATTCTCCTGATAGAAACAACCTTTTATTATATTGATATGGAGCTAGTCCTTCTTTCTACTCTCTGTACCTATGTCTATCTTAGCCCTTGAAAGGCAAAGAAAATGGTTCTTCTAAGGTTAATCTCAGTCCCTGCATATCTGATTTATGGTGACATATTCAACTAATATCCATAAGTGTTGGCCATAGACATTCAGACTTTTTTGTATAAAATCAGTAGATTCAGTGAGTACCACGTAGATGGGTTGGAGTAGCAGTGAGTCACACAGTAAAGGTGGCTAAAATCAAGCCAGGATTGGATATTTTATGGATGTCATCCTGGATGAACTGTTGAGTGAACAGGGCTTTCTAAATGACTTCAGCTTGTGATGGGGCCCAGAGCAGAAAAGAGTACCCTGCCATCCATTTGGAAGACCAGGCAAGACCCTGGAACATACAGTGAGTGACCCTGGAATATGTAACAGATGACTCAAAAAGCATGCCTATCTCCAAGGAATTCACACTCCCACACTTCCATTAAAAAAAAAAAAAAGTGGGGCGCCTGGGTGGCTCAGTTGGTTAAGCGACTGCCTTCGGCTCAGGTCATGATCCTGGAGTCCCGGGATCGAGTCCCACATCGGGCTCCCTGCTCAGCGGGGGGTCTGCTTCTCCCTCTGCCCTCTTCCCTCTCATGCTCTCTGTCTCTCATTCTCTCTCTCTCAAATAAATAAATAAAAAAAAAATCTTTAAAAAAAAAAAGTGTTGGGGTGCCTGGGTGGCTCAGTCGGTTAAGTGTCTGCCTTCGGCTCAGGTTATGATCCCAGGGTTCTAGGTTCGAGCCCCACATTGGGCTCCCTGCTCTGCAGAGAGCCTGCTTCTCCCTCTCCCTCGGCTGCTCCCCCTGCTTGTGCTCTCTGTTAAATAAATAAATAAATAATATTTTTTTAAAAAGTGCTTTAGCTATTGGGGCAGTTGCCTCTACAGGCAAGGAAATCAAACAACCAACTATGCCTCTGCCCAGAGTGGAAAACAAGTCCATTTTTAAGTAGAGGCATTTGGAAATTCTCTTTAGCACATTAGGCATAATTGCAAGGTGAATTATTAAATGTTGAATACAATTAACAATAAAAAAAAAACACTACTGGATTTTGACTTGCTAAAACAAACAGCTCATTTTGAATGTACACACTAATTTTCTTGCCAAATAAGAAAAATTTGTCCTCCCTTAGGGCAGATGAGCACCCACGATCGACCCAACACCCCCACCTAGTGGTGAGATATACTCCTAACACTTCTCTTCACTTAAAATGCACCAGACCCATTTGCCTTTTCTTCCCAAACTGCTCAGGTAAAAGGAGGTCCTGGGAGACTGTCACGATGTAAAATAATAATGGAAAAGGAACACTTGAAAAGGTCAAATGTAAATTAAAAGCTTTATTGAATAAAAATGTTTCAGACTAAGCAAGACTGTAAGAAAGCAGAATATTTTACATCTCTAAAAAATATTAGGGCTAAATGTCTAAAAATGCAGTACAAAGAAAAGTCTATAGTTTAAAATACCTCTCTTCCCCACATACAATTTGGAATATCAATTATGTACAACAAAGTACTCAAGTTTATAATGTTCTAAAACCTTAACTACTAGAAAACCATCTTTCCGAAAAAGGCCTATAATTGGTTTAATGCACCCTGGAAATACTGTCTGCCATAAAAATCAATACATTTCAGAGCTGGTAAGTATTAAAAAAACTAGTGTCCCAGAAAGGGGATATCAGAAGTGGAATATCGGGTTTGGGGGTCTGGGCTCAAGTGGTTTAAGGCAGTTTTTTCTGTTATTCCTCCTTTAAACTCCTCACTTTGCTTTAACATGCAACATGGCAAACAACAATACAAAAGATCTTATAAAAATATTGCAGCTTTCAGTAAATTATGAGCTGCCACAGATACCACCAAAGAAGAAAGCAATCAACTGGGATGTAGTCAAACTCATTGGCAAATACCAGAGCTTAACTGAGAGACCGCTGATCTCAGCAAGCACCAAATGTGCTCAGAAAGTGCCCCCAAAGAATAGTTGTGTTAGATCTCAATAATCCAGTTCTGGATATGGTTTAGAGAAAGGGATGCATAGCAATAAATTCCCCATATATATCAAAGTAAGAAAGTTAACCTAAAAAATGTTTTAAAGATTAAATATTTGATCTCTTAACAGA